GCCGCCGGGGATGGGTGCCCGGGCGGCCAGGGAGGCGTTTGCCTGGGTTCTGGTCAGGGGCCGGGGTGGGGACGTGGAGACTGTCCCCCACGCCCAAGTGGGGCTCCCCTCTGTCCCAGACATGTTTCCTTCCGTTCTTTCCCCTGTGGGCCCAGGTGTTACCCCTGCCCTGGGGTGGGGGTGGGGGTGGGGGCATGGCGTGGGCTGGACTGTGTCCATCGTTTGGAGGGTGTCTCTCTGGTTGTATCTCAGGAGCAGGGAGCAGGTGACCCCTGGAGGCACTGGGAGCAGGAAGCTCTCTGGCTGAACAGCCTGTGCATCTCATGAGGAGGACTCGGGGCTTTGCTGGTGGCCATGCCATCAGGGCCAGAGAGAGGCCCTCTCTAGGGACAGACCCCAAAATTAAGGGTCTGAGATGGATCCACTTGGCAGACTCAGCCCCCAAAAGCTGCTTCCCTAATGCCTCAAAGGTGTGAAGGCAGGGCTGGCGTCAGGGAGCGAGGCCTAGAGGCAAACGCGGGAGGCAGCACAGGGAGCCTGAGGGAGCCCACGGCAGCGTGAGGGCATGGGAGCCTCCAGCAGAGGCAGCAGGGCCAGGTGGGGAGAGGTGTGGAGGGCAGGGGGACGGGAGAGGCAGGGGCGTCAGAACTTGACGTGGGTACTAGGGTCGGAGCCAGGTGTAGAGGAAGCAGTCAGATTGACTGTGGCCAAATTTGGTTCTGACCCCAAGGAAGGCAGCTGTCAGTGAGGGAGGCCCTGGAGCCTCGGCCCATCACGGGGTGGCCCTGGTGGCCGCCACAGCTCCCTGGGGCCTCTTCAGCAGGGCAGTGAGTATCACTGACCTTGATAAATGGGAGAGCAGCTGATAAGGAAAATGGGTTTCCTTGGGGTGGCCTGTCCTCCAGCCTGAACCTCTGGGGCAACGCCCCAGGGGTGTTCGTGTTGGCCCGCTGAGTTGCCAGTCCTAACCTTGTTGTTTGGGGAGTCCCGTTAAGAAAACCCACCTAGGTGGGAGGAAAGCTACACTTGTGGATTTTTTTATTTGGTCAACTTAGAGCTTCGGTTCTTGAATGGGTCTGAGCCTCCACTGCCCCAGTCCCAGTGCTTCGTCTGTGCTAGTGGGGAGCGGCTGGCCTAGGCTCCCTTCTGGGCCACCACCCTGGAGGGGTGAGTGACAGGGTCAGCTGGGTGGGGGAGGCAGACACATGGACAGGCAGGTTTCACTGTGGGAGAGAAAGACAGAGACAGCTGCTTGGCTGCGGGTTAGGGTTAGACATAATGCGGGGCTGGAGGGAGAGTTGGCAGTTCGAAGGAATTCACCCAGTTTGGGGTCAGGGCTCCTCCGTGTGCCTGGGGGCAGCTGCGCTCCTGGGGGTAAAGTGGTAGTATTTTTATTGTTGTTGATCCTCACCGGAGGATATTTTCTCCATTGATTTTTAGACAGAGTGGAAGGGAGGAAAAGAGACAGAGAGAAACATCGATGTGAGAGAGACACATTGATTGGTTGCCTCCCACACACGCACCAACCTGGGCCGGGATTGAGCCTGCAGCTGAGGTACATGCCCTTGACAGGAGTCGAACCCGGGACTCTTCAGTCCCAGGGCTGATGCTCCAACCACTGAACCAGACCAGCCAGGGCTACTAACATGGTAGTATTTAAATAAGAGGGCCAAGGGGCTGCATCCCTTGCTCCCTAATCTTCTTCCTGCTCTCCATGGCCCAATCCCCATCCCACCCAGCGTCCACTTTACAGCCCCTCTGGTCCTCCCCAATCTCTCATCTGGAATCTAGACAAGTGGGGTTTCAAAAGTCTGTGGAACACTTCACTCCGTGTATTTGCATCTCATTTACATCCCATCTGAGCACCTGGATAGTGTCAAGGGAATACACCTGCCTCATCCATCTCTCCATAGCCCCCTTTGAACCCTGACTTGTGGCCTCACTGGGTGGGGTGGGAAGTAGAGGAGGTCTATATAATGAGTCCATCTCTGGTGATTCAGGCCTACAGGAAGGAAAGATGATTCTAAGAGGAAATATGCTGCTTTTGACCTACCCAAGCCCTCTGGCAGCCCATCTCCAGCTCCTCCCTGCCCCCCTCCTTCTCCCCCACCCCCCCATCAGAGAGTGATGGTGGGGTTTGACCTCAGCCTCTCAGGTTGCCTCCAGACCCACCTCCAGCTCACCTTGGGAGCAAATTATGGGATGGACCGAGTCAGCGAAGCCCCTAGGTGTGGACGCTTAGACTAGCTGAAGGGGGTTGGGGGTGGGGCTGAGGGGTCAGAAGCTGGGCCCAGAGAGAAGAGAGGGTGAAGATGGAGGGAGGGGGGCCGAGTGCAGGGAAGCAGGGAATGAAGGGAAGCGGGCCTGCAGGAGTCCCAGCGGGGAGCTCGGCCCTGACCTAGGTGCAGCCAACTGGCCACTCGGGCTGCCTGTGCCAGGAGGAGCCGTGTGACCTTGGCGAGGTCACGCCTCTCCTTGAGCCGCGGTTGCCTCATCTGTCAAGTGGGGATGGAAGGACCCCCCGAGTCTGTTTTTCGGAGCAGCATGTGGATGTGCACATCCTTTGAAAAGGTTCAAAGGCGCCATTAATATTCATTTCCGCGGTACCTTCCGCAAATCCGAGGCTGGCGATGCCCCGTGCAGTTGCCTGGCTGCAGTTAGCTTCCTGCAGCGAGACGCGAAGCCCCCTCCGCCAAAGCCGCGCGGTTCCGGCGCCCCTGCCCCTCCCACCCTCGTTCACGCCGCTGCAGCAGGGTCACCAGCCGGGGTTTGGGG